TTATTGCTGCATTATTCACAGTAGCAGAGATGGAAGCAATCCAAGTGCCCATCAACAAAAGAATGGATAGAAAAACTATGTAGCACTGAAAAACAATGAACTAGCAAAACATTACAAAACATGGGGCAGCCTGGAGAACATTATGCTGAGTAAAATATCTGTCACAAAAAGCCAAATATTGCATAACATTACTGTTATAAAATAGGACAGACATGAGGGGCTTGGGGAGAGAATGAGAAAAGAGTGGATAGATAATGAAAACGGCATTAGAACAGATGAGAGGAAGAACTGACCGAAAGGAATACATGATTAGGCACTGTATGTATGACAACAATCTAGAACCAGGAGTACATTGGAGGATGGGATAAAGGATGGGGAAGATGGGAAAAAGAATACAAAAATTCTCACCACAGGCCAATAGGTAGAACCAAAATAGATGGAGAAAAGATCAAATTATCAACTATTTCATCTTGCTTACATCTACAATCAAAATCCTTGGTACCAGTAGTAAAAAGTTGTTTTGCCTTGGGAAAGTCTGCTGTCAAGTACTTCTCCAAAGCACTAAGGATGTCAGTTTGAAGACTAAGGTGTGTCTGATTCAGGCCTACTCTTTCAACTCTTGTTATGCATCTGAGAGCTGGACAATGAATAAAGATTACAGAAGAAGAATTTATGTCTTTGAGTTGTGGTATTGGAAAAGAGTACTGAATATGCCATGGAATGCCAAGAGAACAAACAGAAAAGTCTTGGGAAAAGTGTAGCCAGCGTGCTCTTTAGAGGCAAATATGGCGAGACTTCATCTCACATACTTTGTTGTTAGAAGGGGATATTCCTTGGAAAAGGACATCATACTTGGAAAGGTGAAGGGTCAGCGAAAGAGACAAAGACCCTCAAGAAGATAGATTTGCACAGTGACTGTAGCAATGAGCTCAAGTATTTCAGAAATTATGATAACGGCACAGGATAGAACAGGGTTTAGAGCTGTTATTTATAAGGATGTTATACAAAAGTCAACAACAATTATTATAACAATTACTAATTATATATTTTTGAAAGCAGAAGTGGCATCCACATCCTAAATAACATAACATCCTCTGGAAAGTCTATGAACTTTGATAAATGTCAATACTTGTAGAGGGGCTACAGGCCTTGACTCAAAGGCAATCAACAACAATAATTTTATATTGTTATATTAATTATAATAACAATAAGTATTATAAAACAAAATACTCATAAGTGATTGCATAAAAAAACCAATATAATTTTTTAAACCTTCACTCAAATAAATTAAAAAAAATAATAAAGGAAACCAGTGGTAGGAGTGAAAAACTGTATAAACTAGAGACTGCTGACCTTTGACCTAAAGAAGCTTCAGCTATTAAGTATAATTTGACTGGGTCAGCCAGTTATGTCCTTAATGAGGAAGCTTAGAGTACCAGGGATATAGGAAGGGCCTCAACACTGGCAATTGGCAGCATCAAGATAGAGGGTGAACAGATTGAAATTGTTAACAGCTTCAGTTTGCTTGGCTCCATAATCAACAAACACTCTTAGTACCAGCAACCAAGAAATCAAAAGATGAATTGCATTGGGAAAATCTGCTGCCAGGGACCTCTCCAGAGTATTGAAGAGCAACAATGTCAGTCTAGAAACTAAGGCATGCTTGATCTTTGGCCATGATCTTTGCAATTATGTGCTATGAATCAGAGAGCAGAACAATGAGTAAGGATGATAGAAGAAAAATTGATGCCTTTGAGTTGTAGTGCTGGAGAAGAACATTGAATATACCATGGACTAACAGGTTTGTTCTGGAGAAGGTGAAACCAGGCTGCTCCTTAGATGCAAGGATTTTGAAGTTTTGTCTGACGTAGGCCATGTTGCAGGGAGGGACCAGTTCTTGAAGAGGGACAATAGACTTGGAAAGGTGGAGGAGCAGTGCAGGACAAGAAGATCCTGGATGAGAAGGATTGACTCAGTGACTGGGGTAATAGGGGTAAGTGTGTTAGAGACAATGAGGTTGGCTTAACATAGAGCAGGGTTCAGACCCTGTGTATTAGGTTTGCTATGAGTCACAAGTGACTCAATGACACATAACAACGACATAAACCAAATTGAGTGTGATACTTAAAACCAACCTGTATTATAAGGTCTTATAATTCTTAAAATTTATTTCTTAAAATTCTGCTGGTGTTCAAAGCAGGGATCCCAATGATGACCAGAATTCCAAAGACTCCAGTCATAAAGGACTAAGATGATGAAGCAATAGTCTGTTTCATTTGAGGATAGCAGAACTTCGATGTTAGTAAATAAAACCTACTCTTTGTAGGTTTCAGCTAAAATGGCATTAGGTGCGGCTAATACTTAATCTTACCACATTAGAAGCTATGAATATGGAAAGATTTCTAAAAATATTATTGTAGGAGTTCTAAGGTTCCAAAACATATTCAAGATACAAATACTTCCAGTGACAGAATCGAAAGTCCAAATGAAAAAGTGACAGAGAACCTCCAAGGAGGGAAAATTTTTAAAACTGGATTAAAAGACAGAAAGAAAAACTGTAAAAATGTCTAAACTGAGGGAGCTGGAAAACACACATTTCCAGGGTGGTTTTTGCCATGGAGGAGACCCATAAAATAGTGGTTCACTTCTTTACAAAACAACTTTGGAGAGCTCAGAAATAGGAGACAGGTTCAATAAAATACTTGAAAGGATTGTGAGTGAAGGCAGTATTGTTTCCAGAAGGAAAGGTGGTGGTATTTGAAGTCCTGGCAATAATCAGGTTGACTTGAAGTCAATCCTGATTTGACCCTTAGAATATCTATGACCTCAGACAACTCATGGATCTATTTAAATCTCAGTCTTCTCATGCAAAAAAGTATGACTAGGACAACTTTTGTTTTCAGGATAAAATTGTATGCATGCAGAATGCTAATGTTGTTATGTGCCATAGAGTCATAACCAACCCATAGCTAACCCTCTGGCAGGTTTTCAGAAGCATTAATTACACGAGAGGAGATTGCCCATCCTTCTCCCATGGAGCAGCTGGTGGCCTCGAACTAACTGGTGCCTTTGGGATTGCAGTGCAGCTTCTTGCCACTAGGCCACCAGAGTTCAACAGAATGTTCATACCATGGTCGTATATACATTTATTCTTATTGCCAAAGAGTTAGAACTAACTATTCATAATTAGCCCTACAGTGGCTTTTCAGAGGATATAAATTGCACAGGAGATTATCCACCTTTCTCTGATGAGATACTGGTAGATTTAAAGCATCAGAGAGATGTCCACCTTTAGGTCAGCCATGCCACACACCTCACTAACTAAACCACCAGCCCTTGGGATACAGGCTATTGGCTTCTCTGAAATCTAAATCAAGCTTACAGGCATTTTTAAAATTTGCTTTTTATTTGTGTGAAAGTTTATTCCATTACTTTTGTTTTAAAACTTTATAAATGATTAATGTAGCAGGATTTTGAAGATCTGTCTCACATACTTTGGGCACATGGCCAGAAGGGACCAGTCACTGGACGTCATCATGCTTTGAAAGGTGAAGGGACAGCACAGGAGAGGAAGATCCAGGGTGAAGTAGATTGACATAGTGACTAGGGCAATGGGGGTAGGTGTGACAGACAGATTGGTTCAGGATAAGACAGTTCAAAGCAACACGACAGAACAACAAACTAGTTACAGTGTCTGATCTAGCCCTTAATGAATACTGTCTTTGCCCTCATCCAACTTTTTACTCCTATCCCACCCCTCTCGTCTCTGATAAACTTACATGATTTTGTGTGTAAACCTTTAGCTTTTTACAATATTGGCCTTAAGTCATAGTAGTTCTTTCGTGACTGATTTGTAATTCAGCATCATTTCCTCTAGATTCATCCATGTCATGCAAATGGCTCATGAATTGGTTTTGTGATGCATACTACTCCATCGGTTACCATAGTTTCTCCAGCCACTCTCTGATGTCTATAGGTATTTTAAAGATTGATTTGGAAGTTTTGGCAAGTGGGCATAATCATAGTTTACACGTTTAATAAGGTAGTCTTTTGGGAAAATAATTCAACTGCATTTGAGAACTGGTAGTCTGTCATTTTCTTATTCACATTTAAGTCTCAACTACATTGTAAGCAACCTAAGTGAACAGCTGCCAAACTGTTACATTCTTCATCTTTGTCATTGTTGGCAGGTCCCTGAAGACAGGTCAGTGAAAGGTGCCAAATAAAACACAGCTAACATAAGGGTGTGGAGAGCAAGTCAATCTGTTGGTACTTTGCCCTGCGCTATGCACTGGCTGCATTTGAGATGTTTTAGCAGCCTGCCCCTGCCAACAAAATTAGGAAGCTGTGGAGAAGCAGCTCAAATTTTCACATGGGTAGAAGTGCTCTCCTGATCAAGCTGAACACACAGGATTCCTCAGCTTGTCCAGGGGAAGGCAGAACAGGAACATACTCCAACCTGCAAAACCTCTGTAAGATGGCTCTGCCCTCGGACTTGTGCCTCTGCAATTAAAATAGGCAGGTGATGATATCCCTATTGATAAGTCTTGAGACCAAAAAAACCCAACAAAAACCAACACTCAATGCAGCCTTCCATATAACATGGACAAGATGAATTTACTATTAACTTATTTAAAAGTTTGGAGAAATTGGGAACCCATAAACAGGTTGTATGCTGTCACGAAGCAGTCCCATCTTCCCTCAAAACCCTCCAAGTCTTGTCAGGAGCAGCTAGATGGGCACTGGTGGGCTGACACTCAAGCTACAGAACAGCAATGGAGATACTATGTAAATGAAAGAAACAAAGAGAGAGAAAGAATGGCTGCATACCCTAAAGACAGCAGAGTAAATGCTAAGTTTCCAGAGAACATGGAAGAAATGTTCTGATAATACATGAGTGTAAGCATAAGTGAAAACTTGTAAGACTTGTATACTTTACCGTATGTAATGTGTACCTTTTTTAAAAAGAAAAATATAAATAATAAGTCAGAAGGCTCCCTCTGTTTGCTATCCTTTATTAAAGGGTCCCATATCATCATGAGACTCCAGCCAAACCAGACAGGTCCCCCAATACAGCAGGAGGCCTGGAAGGGGAGGGGAATGACTTAGGATCCCACCACATCTCCTTGGAAACAGAAACCCACCACAGACAGACAGACAGACAGACTGGGGTGGGAGAGGAGAACTTGCTTCACTCTTGACTCTCCTCCCCTTGCCCTTACTTGAAAGGAAAGTCAAACACTGGCTATGCAGCACCCCAGCCCCCCACCCTACCCATAGCAGCGTTTGTGGGACACCACCACTACCCCCCACAAGGGGTGGCCCCAAGGGAGCTTCTTATCTCTCGTCCTTCACTTTGGTTTGCTCCTGGCATCTCCGGCCCTCTTCCCTCCTTCGGCCTCCAGCCGAGTCACTCACTCTTCTATCACCTACTCCAACCTTCTCTCTATCTTCCACACCTCCCTGCCCCAGGGCTTCTGGGGAGGCAGCGTCTCAGGAATCCTCTCTCTGCCCAGCAAGGGTCTGGCCAGACCCTCTACCCAGAACATAGGCTCACACAGCCGCCCCACTCTCCTTGAGGTCAGGGGCTGAACGCTGCCGTCTCATCCGTGGGGGAGTAGTGTATGGGGGGTAACGGGGCACTGGGGGCCTTTGGGATGGGTATGGTTGGGGCTGCTGGGGATAATAGTTGTGCTTTTTGGGCTGGAAGTGCTGGGGTTCAGGCTGTGTGGAAGTCCCTCCACGGGTCGGCCCCCTCCATCCAGGGAGTTCCGGCGGGGGCGGTGGGACCTTCGAGGACTTGGGGACCTGCGACCAGGGGTGGCTGGAGGAGGCGTGATCTCCTCTGGGGGTGGCAGAGGTGCTGGCGTCTCACTGCCTGCCATCCCTGCCATCCCTGGCCAGGACTCCCGGTGCTGGGGGTTGCTCTTGAAGGGGAAGCGCAGTTTGCAATCATGTGGGGGCACAAAGCGGGCGGGGGGCCTGCGCAGTCCCCCTCCACGCCCCCCAGAGCCCTGCAGTCGCAGCTGCTCCTGCTTGAGCCAACGAAGGCGGCCACGACGGAAGGCAGGGTCCTCCTCCATCAAGCGAGACACCCGCTCCCAGCTGGACAGGGGGGGCGAGCTGGGCCGGGCTGAGGGCACACGGTCACTGGACACTGCCTCTTCTAGGGCCTCAGACCCCTCAGGAGCAGCCCAGGCGGCTATACCTGATTCTTCATTCTCATCCTCATGATCCTGGGAAGGAAGGGGGTTAGAGAAAAAGACAAATGACATATGGACTGCTGAGGCCTGAGGACGTGAAAGAAAAGGCACCTAGAAAAGTTGAGGCAGCACTAGCTTGAGAGTCAGAAGGCCTGAGGTCAAGCTTGGGTCTGACACTTCCTAGCTGTGGGAGCTGGATCTCTGGCTTGTAACCACTCAATCTCATCACTGGCTTGTAACCACTCAATTTCATCACTGGCATAAGAACCAAATGAGGTCAACCACATAAACTGATTAGAACAGTGGCTGGGACATAGCAGACACTCAGTAAATACTTGATGAATTTAAAGAAACAAAAGAAAAGTATCTGGTATCACACAACTTACATTTTAACCAGGAGAGACAGAAAACAAATAAATGAAAAAAATCTAGTACATATACTTCAATAGGTGTTATATATGTGCATGCATACCACACACAATCAGGGAGCTCTAAAGGCCTACTGTTAAGGAGTTGTGCACTAAGCCAAAGGTAAGCTGTTCGAAGCCGCCAGACGGTCTTCAGGAAGAAGATGGGCAATCTCCTCCCTCAAAATTCAAAGCTTCTGAGAAAGCCTGGAGGGTCAGCTGAGTTGGTTCCAACTCGGCAGTATATAACAACAACAACATATACAGACTATATACATTGCACATATCTTATGCATGTGTTATTATGTGCTGTCAAGTTGGAAGTGACCCATAGCTGACCCTCTCGTGATGTTTTCAGAGTCAGTTAATCCCACAAGAGGAGACTGCCCATCTTTCTCCCACGGAGCATCTGATGGACTAAAACTACACACCTTTGGGACTACTGTGCAGTTTCTTACCACTAGGCCACCACAAAGTTCTTTTTTTATGCATACATTTGTACATACATACATATATATGTTGTTGTTGTTGTTGTTATGTGCCGTCAAGTCACTTGAAGCTCATAGCAACCCTATGTACAACAGCTCTAAACCCCACTCCATCCTGTGCCAATCTCCAACACACCTACCCCCATTACCCCAGTCACTGAATCGATCCATCTCAGTGAAGTTCTTCCTCTTCTAAGCTGTCCCTCCACCCTCCCATCCTCTTCTGAGCTGTCCCTTCACCCTCCCAAGCATGACATCTCTCTCCAAGGACTGGTCCCTCTTGCAAAATGTCCAAAGTATGTCAGACAAAACTTCAGAATGCTTGCCTCCAAGGAGAAGCCTGGTTTCACCCTCTCCAAGAAGAACTTCTTTGTTCTCTTAGCAGTCCAAGGTATATTCAATACTGTTCTCCAACACCACAGCTCAAAGGCATCAATTCTCCTTTTATCATCCTTAGTCACTGTTCAGCTCTTTGATGCAAAGCAAGTGATTGCAAAGACCATGGACTGTATCAGCCGCAGCTTAGTCTCCAGACTGACATTGTTGCTTTTCAGTACTTTGGAGAGGTTTCTGACAGCAGACTTTCCCAATGCAAGTATATATACATATATAGGGATGATATTGTAAGTAAGTATGTGTGTATGTGTATATATGTACGCATGTATTTTATGCATATATAGTCATACGTACATATATATCTATGACACACACATGTATATATTATTATACTACTGTTAACACCATGTCGTCCATCCACAGCCACCCCATAGTGCAGAGGAGAACTGCCCTATAAGGTTTTCAATGCTGTGGTCTTTTAGAAACAGACTACCAAGTTTTTCTTCTGAAGTGTGTCTGGGTGAGTTTAAATCTAAGTCAAGCTTGTAGTTACTAAGACTTATCTAGGGAGTTCTGGTGGCCTAGAGGCAAGAAACTGCACTGCAATCCCAAAGGTACACAGTTCAAATCCACCAGATATTGTGCTGGAGAAGGAGAGACAATCTCCTACTGTACCAGTCAGATTTGATTTGACGATACACACAACACACACACACACACACACACACACACACACACACACACAAGACAACTATCTGTGCTACTCTGAGACTCTAGATAACTCAGACTAGCAGATACAAACACACACATACACACACACACACATGAGACAGAGAGATAGACAGAGACAGACAGAGACAAAAACATACAGTGAAACCCATGAGAGCTGAACTCAACAAGTCTGACATGTTCTCTTGTCTTTGACAGGGTGCTCTTTTCTATCATTCATCGTAGGAGAAACTTTTTGAGTTTTCCTTCTCTAACAAGTTTCCTCCTTACAGAGATTCTGGCTTTTAAAGGCTTTTTACTCTGTTGTACTGGTAGGTAAGGAGTTGCACTGCCAACCCAAAGGCAGGTGGTTCAAATCCACCAGCTGCTCCCATAAAGAAAGATAGGCAGATAGTCCCTTCCCGTCAAACTGAAAATCTACCGAGGGTCAGCTTTAAGTTGGTTCCAATTCAACAGCAATGAGAGTGAGACTCTGTGAGTGTGAGTGTGTGTGTGCACGCACAAGTACAAAATCTATTTGTGAAGTCAGATGAAGGAAAACAGCAGGGGAGGGGAACAAGAAAAGTAAGAGTACCAGGAAGGGAGTCTCTGAGAAATAGTAAAGACCTGAAGGAAGTGAGAAAAGCACTGTGGGTATCTGAGGGGAAACATTCTGGGCAGAGTGAGGCAGTGGATACAAAGACCTCAATGCAGGGGCATTGCCCCACGAGTTCATGGACTAGTGAGGAAGCAAGTGCAGCCCAAGCAAAGGGGGAGAAGGAGAGGAGGCTATAGAGGTGAGTGGTCAAGAGCCACAACTATTATCATGATTTATGATCTACCTTCCCTTATTAAGAAGTAAGTAGGACTTGAGATGAAATTTTAAGTAATCCTGGTGGCTGGAACAATGCCTGGTATACAAGCACTCAAGTACTGCTGAGTGAATAAATGCACAGTGGGGACTGACAATTATTCTACCTCTCACATAGCTGGCATGTGGATTTGAGAACATGTAATAAGCACTCAGTACAGGAGCTCCCACAGAGCAGTCAGAGGGGAGAAGGATGCACACAAGGGTGTATACCTATGTAAACACTCACTAAGCTGTAACTTAACAATTGCATGCTTTCTTTAAGTTGTCCTCAAACTTAACTGTACTTCAGAATCACCAGGGTAACTTATTATACAATAAATTCATCTCCAGAGATTCTCATTCAGTTGGGTTCTGACTCAGAATTCTTGGGGTAGAGTCTAAGAATCGATTTTTTTAATCAGCACTCTGGTGATTGTGAGACAAGGGATTCACAAACTATCCTGAGAGAAATCATGTTACACACTGATGAAATTTTGTCTAAATAAAGAGGAAAAGAGTTGGAATCTGAAGTGGGAGGTTCAGGTTCCTAAATAGAAGTGCTGAGGAAGGTGCTATGGGTTCTGAGCCAGGGATGAATGCAGGGGCTCCCTACCTGGGCCAGGGGGATAACCCTCTCCATGCGGAGCATGCGGTCTCGCAGGGCTTGCAGCTCTCGATCTTTGCTGCTGTTCTGCAGCTTCACCTCTTGCAGAATCCCCGTGAGCTTGTCAATGTGAGCCCGGAGGTCTTCCACTTCCGCTCCTCGGGCTCCTTCTTCACTGCCACCATTGCCACCGCAGCTGCCTTCCTCCTCACCCACCGTGTCCCAGACATCCCGGGCCACAGCCTTCCAGGCATCTCCGGGCCCCTCTGGCTTGCCGTAGGTGCGGCACAACTCTCGCATCTTGAGGGCAGCAAGGGCCTCAATCTCTGCTCGTCCATGCCGGAAGTCAGCCAGGGCCACCTCATAACAGATCTCCTTCACTGCCTGCATCTTCAGGTCTGCCATGGTGGCCCAGCGAGGGTCTTTGCCCTGCAGCCGCCGCCGCTGGGGGATCTGGTAAACTCTGCGAGGGGCCCTGCGCTTGCCACTGCTGGGCAGACCACAGCGCTTGACAATGGTCTGGACCGTGGTGGGAGGCAGCTGCTCTCTCAAGGAGGAGATGAGCCGCCAGCTCTCCTCACAGGAACGCTTGTCAGAGTCATCCCCACTGTCTGAATCTGCATACTGGGGCAGAGAGAGAGAAAAAGAAGCTTAGGGTATGCCAGGAACATGAGTTCTAGCTCAGTGTTCCCCAAGAACACCAGAAACATTAGAGTGCCTAGGTTCAAATCTGACCTCCAATCCTTACTGTGTGTCCTTGGGCAACCTGCTCAACCTCTTAAAATACTGATAATGACAGTCTCTACCTCACAAATACATTCTAAAGATCAATGTAAACAAAGTGCTTAGAACAGTGGCTAGCACGGAGAAGGTGATCAATACGTAATTGTTATGTAACATTGGGTTACAAGTGACCCATAGCTGACCTTCTAGTGGGTTTTCAGAGGCAGTAAATCCCACAGCAGGATTTGAATCAGGCCTTTGGCTTGGCAGCCCAACTTCTTACCATTAAGTCACCACAGCTCTCTCAGTACATATTGTTATTATTGTTGTTTACCATTGAGTCAGAACCGACCCATAGCTGACCCTCCATCAGGTTTTCAGAGGCAGTTAATTCCATGGGAAGAGACTGCTCATCTTTTTCCCGTGAAGCAGCTGGTAGATTTGAACCACGTGCCTTAGAAACAGCAGCACAGTTTCTTGCCAATAGGCCACCAGAGGTACAGTTAAGGAAAAATCCTAATACATACTACTAATCAGATGGTACTTGGAATATGCTTGCTCTTGGTCCCTACAGAGTCAAACTTCAACTCACGGTGACCCATGCACAACAGGATTAGACCACTATCATCCATGGGGCTTTCACCACAAACTTTTCAGAAGCAAATTACCAGGCCTTTCTTCCTACTGTCTTAGACTGGAAACTCTACTGAAACACGTTCTGTATCACAGTAACATGCAAGTTTCCACTAACAGGTGGTGGCTGCATATGAAGTACAATGGTTGGGAACAGAACCAGAGTCTCCTGCATGGAAGTCAGGTGAGCATTCCTCCATGGAATCACTTGGATATGGTAAAAGATGGTACAAGATGAACTAATATCTGGGAAACTCTGGTCAGCTGGGACACATTTTCACTCCTTCACACAGTGGTTTCCTCCCTACGTCACTTTTCTTTCACCTTTTCCTTGTAGATACCACCTCCAGCCTTCGTCCCATCAGCACTTCCCACTCTGGTTGATGTGCTGGTGCCCAGTCTCACTGTTCATCTCCTCAGCAGCCCAGACCCCACTTCCTGCCCACATGCCCTGACAGCCCACTTCTCCTCCGATCCCAGCCTTACCAAGCGCTGCTGCTCCAGCAGAAGATCAGCTTCTTCCTTCTCTTTCCGGTACTGATTCTCTAAATCCTGCAGTCTAGGGTTGGGCAGAGAGAAGGAACAGCTATAGGTGGGGGGCTCAGGAGCCAACTCAATGGGGAGACATACTACAGTGGAACTCTAGGGACTGGGGACCTGCAAGGGACAGCCTTTGAGGACCAAAGTGCAAGTCCCCTTCTTCACACCTCTTCTCCATCTCCAACTTGATATCAATGCCTTGCTGCTCCAGCAACTCCTTCTGCGCAAAGTTCCAGTCAACAGGCTCAGATGGCGGTCCTGGGGGTGGTGGCACACCCCGTTCCCTCTCCAGCCGCGCTTGTTCCGGGTGATTGAAGCGGAAAACATGGTTCTTACCCATCACAATCCTATTTCCTGGAGGTGAGTGGAGGGAAATTTGGACTTACTCCCTCACAGCAGCAAACTCATTGCCATATCCAAGGCATGCAGGACATTACTCCCAAGTCTCAAGCCCCTAATACCTCTCTCTTATCACCTCAAGTCTGAAGGGATTTAGCCAAATGTTCTCCTGATTAACCCCAGAAATGATCCTTTTTCCTGACAGGCAAAGTACTCGGGAGATGACTCACACTCTCTTCCCGTTTTTCTAGGACAACAAACAGACCCCAAAGCTGACTCCTTTCTCTTTACTTCCTAGATCCTTCTTCACATCCCCACACCATTTCCTACTTATTTTAGAGCCCAAACCTAAGATAGCCCCACAGAGTCCTGCCTAGGACTTCCAACCATGTCTTCAAACCCGCACACCATAGCACTTGTACCTGATTTCAGAATGAGGGGCTCAGTCACCAGCTTTCCGTTGACATACGTCTCAGCTCCTTCACATGGCTCCAGTGTGACCACCACTGAGCACAGGGAGACAAAAAAGGAAAAGATCAGACTGTGGGGGAAGGTGGCTACGGGCACAGACTCCCCTCTTGAATTAACCCCCAAGAAACACACATGCAGTACCAGTCACACCGCAGTACCTGTTGAGGTGCCAGGGCCCTTCTGGCAGCAGGCAGCACAAAAAGGAAGAGCAGAAGGAGGGTTAGCACCCCAAGTACACTTTCCAGAAGTCTTTGCAGTGGCTCCCTCCTATCCCACAGCCACCATCCCCAACAGCAGCTTGGAAAGCCAGTAATTTTCTGAAGACATCCCTTACATCTGATTGTCAGCAGGCTTTGCCATCTCTACTTAAGATAGCCATTTTTCCTTTCTAATAAAATTATATCTGACTGGGCTAGAATCCACTAGCAGGCTCATCCACTAGCCCATCTCTCTGTATCTATGTGTCTTACAAACAGTTACCTACCTAATCTTGTCACGCAACAACTAGCATATCACTGTTTCACAAAACAAGATAAAGTCAGCCCAATCCAAACATTTATCAAGTTGCACCCCTAAAAACTGAGCCTGCCACTTGTTGGAGACACAAAGGTAGGATTGGTGGCTGCTGTTATGGAGGGGACCCTTGTAACCCAAAGAACCAGGTGCTGCAACTTCTCAGCAGAGACACTGAGCAACTCACATGCTGTGAGCCTCTCTAAAATAGGATCATAAAATCTACCTTTACAAAGCTGCTGAAAGGCTCAAATGAACAAACCACTAAATGATAAGCAATAACAGGCCACCATTTAGCCAAAGTAACAGCTGACTGCCTCATAAAGTAAATAATAACAGCTGTCAGCCCTTTGCTCTAACCTAGCAAATCATGTAAATGAGACCAAATGGTCGACATTTACCCTAAAATATAATGAGAATGTCAGCGGTGGGCAGGGAAGCTGGATTAATGAAAGTGAAACAATCACAATGGAAAGGTGGAGACCTCTGGCATAATGCAGGAAATGTAGCCAATGTCACTGAACAATCTGTAGAGGAACTGTCAAATGAGAAACTAATTTGCTATGTAAACTGTCACCAAAGATGCAGTATTATGAAGAAAAATGATTTGCAAAACTGAGATTTTGTTGCTGTTGTTAGGTGCCGTCATGTTGAATATGACTCCTAGCAATCCTATGAACAAAACATCTGAACCTGTTCTATCCTGTGCCATCCTCAGACTTTCTGACACATAAGAGCCCACTGCGGCAGTTACTCCATCAATCCACCTAGTTGAGGGTCTTCCTCTCATTCACCGACCCTCCCTCTTTCCTAGTATCATGTCTTCCCCAAGGAATAGCTCCTCCTAACAACATGCTCAAAATATGTGAGGCAAACCCGCATAAAATTCTTGCCTCCACCAAGTCCACTCCACCATGTAGCCATCGCTCTAGACTCCTGTCATGACAGAAATACCTAATCACATATCTCTTTTAAACAGTTTTCTG